TTAGTATGTGTGCTTTGTGAATAGGTGATAACCAACCTCCACAATGGATGCACTAATATGCAGTTTATGCCATCAAAGAAAAGAATGATTAGGTCTAATTGGGTGAAAAGTATTTTATGATCACCTGATGCCTTTAGCAAGCTCCACCATAGGCCAAATCTAAGATCCTATTGGTGGCAAGTCTGAGACACACATACTGTGTAGTGCTATCGGATACTGTGTAGTGCCACCAAAGGATCTGCTTGGAGATCAATAATGGGCATCCAATTGTTTTGTAGTGTAATTCTGCTATTTTTACATTATTGTATAATGTTGAATGGAATTTATACTGTTTTTATAGTTCTATTGATTTGGTAAGCAACCACATCATAACTTTTATTTCTCTAGACAAGGTAAGGCCACACCGATTTGAATTATTTGCCATCGCCTCTGTCGGCTTTCCATGACTATGCTTGTAAGTAGGTCTCCGCACTCAAGTGTTTCTGTACCGAATGGGTCAGACTCAAAGCGGTTAATGTATTCATCGTACAGTACCTTGGATTCTTCGTTCAGGCCTGGATGTACTTTGTCCGACATCCTCGGGGGATGTTTTGTCGTGAGGACTTTTTTATCATCTCAACAAAGGTGTCATACTGTGTAGGGAGAGCAGGTAAGTCCTTAATATACTGGTCCAGGTCGTTAGAGAACTTCTCCCAGTCTGCCTTCGACAGGTTGAACCTACGTCTGAAGGGTGCTGTGCGTGGTACAATGACTGCGTTTACGGTAAGTGCGATAGGGCGGTGCTGAGAGTGAGGGATTGGGTTCATCACTGCCTTCTCGCATTGACTAGCAATGGTGCTGGAGGTAAACACCAAGTCAGGGTTGTATCCGCGCCTCCATCTGGAGCTGTTAAATGAGGCTGGGAGTTTTGGGTCGTGTATAAGGGATATCTGGTTAACATCGGCCCAGTTTTCAACACGGTCACCATCTTCGTTGGTTTGCCGATAGCCCCAGGCGGTGCTGTGGCTATTAAAGTCCCCAATTACTATGTTGAGGTGGCCATCAGTGGTTTCTCTTGGGAGGTTGAATGTCTCTGCTGGTGGTTTGTATACTGAGCTTACTCTGATTCCCAGGAGGTCAATATACAGGGCTTAAATATTGTTTATCTCAGACATCGAGAACTTGTCAATCTTTAGCCCCTGGCGTACTAAGATGGCACTTCCATACTGGTCATGTGGTCTCTCCACTATGAGCTATGCAATGCCATTAAGGACATGAAAAACAACAAGGCGGCTGGCCTTGACGACATCCTGTGCGAGCAGATTAAACACTTTGGACCACGCGCTCTCCAGTGGCTGCTCGACATGCTCAACGAAAGCATAAGCACCAACAAGATTCCCAAAATCTGGAGAAGAGCTAGAGTGATAGCCATACTGAAACCTGGCAAGGACCCATCAATACCTAAGAATTATAGGCCGATCTCTCTGCTATGCCACACATACAAGCTCTTTGAAAGACTACTACTCAACTGAATTGCTCCACTTGTGGATGAGCTTCTCATCCCTGAGCAGGCAGGCTTCAGACCAGGAAAATCCTGCACCGGTCAACTCCTGAACCTCACACAGTACATTGAGGACGGCTACAAGAAAGGCCTGATCACAGGAGCTGTCTTCGTAGACCTCTCCGCAGCGTATGATACTGTAAACCACAGGATCCTCACTAGAAAGATCTTTGAGATAACCAAAGACGCAAGACTAACTGAACTGATCCAGAACCTACTATCAAACAGACGTTTCTTCGTAGATGTCAACAACGATCGTAGTAGATGGAGAAGGCAGAAGAACGGCCTCTCCCAGGGCAGCGTACTTGCACCCATGCTGTTTAACATCTACACTAATGATCAACCAGTTCATCCTGACACAAGGAGGTTCCTGTTTGCTGATGATCTCAGCATCGGGGCACAGGGAAGGACCTTCAAAGAAGTAGAGACAACTCTCAGTGAAGCCCTTACAACCCTAACCCCGTATTACGCTGTGAACCACCTACGAGCGAACCCCGACAAAACGCAAGTGAGTGTCTTCCACCTGAAAACCAGGGATGCAGACCGACAACTGAGGGTTAGCTGGCAGGGTAAGTGGCTGACCAGCACCAACAGGCCAGTCTACCTAGGCGTCACCTTAGACAGAACCCTTTCATACAAGACCCACATTCTGAACACCAAGCTGAAAGTGGGTGCCAGGAACAACATCCTTAGGAAGCTCGCAAACACCAAGTGGGGTGCAGATGCAAGCACTGTACGGGCCACAGCCCTTGGACTGTGTTTCTCTACTGCGGAATACGCAGCTCCTGTGTGGTGCAGATCAGCACATACCACAAAGCTGGACACAGCCTTGAACTCCGCTTGCAGAGCCGTCTCTGGATGTCCTCGCCCCACCAGAGTCGACGACCTTTACCTGCTGTGCGGCATTGCACCACCACACATAAGAAGAACGGTGGCGGCACAACGGGAGAAACTGAAGCAGGAGACAGACCCACATCACGTACTCTACCAACATGCTCCTGCACCAAAAAGACTCAAATCCAGACACAGCTTCCTGCACTCAGTTGAGTCACTCAGTGGCAGCGCAGAGTCACGGAGGATGGCCATGTCGGTCCCACCATCTCCAAGAAGCTCCACATAAGTTAACCTTCACCCCGAAGGAATCCCTCCCTCCAGGAGCGGAGGAGGCATGGCCAACTTGGGCATGTCTCAACAGGTTAAGAACAGGCACAGGAAGGTGCAGGACACTAATGCAGAAGTGGGGCCTTGTCCCAGACGGACAAACTGCATGTGACTGTGGGCAGGAGCAGACTATGAGACATCTCCTTCTCTGCCCCCTCCTGCCCGAACCCTGCTTGAAGGAGGACCTGGAAGCCCTGACCCCCAGTGGAAGGGCATGTGCGGAGTACTGGAGGGGAAGAGTGTAGCAGTGAACGGTGACCCGAGAAGAAGAAGATTTGAATTATATGGATGACAAACTAGTGCGTGTGGGAAAAAAATTCCAGCCAATAAAATGCTGCTAAACCACAGGAATTCAAAGCTGGTACTGTAAATTTGCAGTTTTTATGACAAGCCAGCACGTGCTGGCCTGTTGCGACATTTATCAGTTGGCAGATCAGAGTTCTTGAGTTCCATGGAGCATTGGTAGTCTGGCTCCCTATGTCGGCTAGCTACCATGGACTACGTACGGAGGATGGCACCCAGGCCAGAGTCTCCGAGGAAATGATTCTTTTTTTTTTTAATCAATGCGCGGAATTCATCCACAAAATTAAATCAGTGAGGCCTAAAGCAGTACAAGTTTTAGCTGATTAACCTAACTTAAGATATTGGATTCTTTTTCTCTTTTATCATCATCAACACATTTTTCGTTGATATATACTAGTAATACTTTATATACTCCAGGACCTATACTGATTCCTACACCTCTCACTAGTGGGAGGGTTAAGAGTGAGCGGGCTTAACATAAATCTCCTTGGTGAGATGTACAAATGTGGAAAATTAGACTAAACACCAACAAAATAATACTACTTAGTAATCCATCAGGCTCTACCAGGCTTCAGGAAGTGGCTGGAAAGAGTAAAAATTGGCCAAATAAACAGATAACATCTCAGGGGAGTTGGTCTGCTTAAGAGTACAGTTTGCCACTTTCAGATAATTTCCAAGAAGATCTTTCGGTGGGGGGAAGACAGTATCAAATTGGCCAGTCTGTAACCATTTCCCCACCCAAGATCCACCTGCAGTCGAAATGTCAAAGGCTATTAACACCTAGTTGTTGCCTGATCAAAATATTCTTGAGTTTATTGCCTTGAACATGTAGCGCATGCGTGCTTACACCAACACCAATGTTCTTCTATGTACTTAAGTCTGGAGGTTACACCAACACCTTGTGACAATGCCTGTAACTATTAATTTCTCAGTTCATTAAGTTTTTGCAAGAGTCTGGAGGACGATAAAAATCACACCTCCCCAAGATGGTGTTTTTTAGGGCTCTTAAACGCGAATTCTTTTACGTTTTCTGGTGCGTTTATTCTCAAAAACGTCTTGTATCACGTACTTTTACTTCATAACGCCAAGTTCAAGAGTAAATACGACAATGTATACTTTGTAGGACCTTGTAATATTCAAATATGTGCCAGCTCGTTTTCCCAGCTCGTTTTCCTATAAAAACACTTTATTATATGACGCTTTGCGGGAGTCATGTGAACTGCAGCCGACACAGCACCCATGTGGTAACCGGATCCTAATTCAAATTATACGGTCTCAAACCCGATGCATTCCTTTAAGTTCTCATCTCGCTGCCCTGCATGAAAGAATCTCGTAGTACTATGCTGCACTACTTGTGCCCGGACTACTTTTTAAAAATACTGTGTCCTTAGACCTTCAACTAATACTGCCTACATGAGCTCAGTTGATGAAATTAATGTTATTGAATCATTTTTCAGCAACAAATAGACATCTATAGTGGTGTCTGAAGCCCTCCACCATGCAGGATTCTCCAAGCAAAGACATCTTGCGTGGGCACCGCCCCATGCTTGTTCAAGACATGAACATAACCCAGATCAATCAAATATTAGATTCAATTTATTCAAAGAAAATTGTCACCAAGGAAGAATACTACTTGTTGAAGAGTTACCAAACACCTCAAGATTGGGCAAGGCACCTGTTGGACATTATTGATAGTAAGGGTGAGGATGCCTGTCGTCGCTTCTTGAAGAGACTGAAGAAAGTGAACAAGGAATTATGGAAGAAGGTTACAGGAAGGACAGGTATTTCAATTTTATTTTTCATCTGATTAAATGCTATGCTATATCATTACATAGTAAAGCCTCTTTGAATTTGTACCTGTCAGATATGTACCTCCTGCAGGGGTATTGTGGTCAATTGGTTTTACATGTTCACAGGTAAAACTCATGGTTCCCTTTTGTTTTATCAGCATATAATTTGATATGTCATCTGCAGGAATGCCCATGATGATGCCCCATATTTTTATTTTTACATTTACAATACTGTAGCTGTTTTTGTGCTTAATGTAATATTTCAGAAGCACCCCTATTGTCATCTTTGGAAACTAAATGTTATTCTTGTGAACATTATCTCCACAATAACAAAGATTTTTGGTTTTCTCCAATAAATTCTTGTCCAAAATCAATTACATGAATATAAAGATTGTCTTGTTAAAAGACATCACAAAAGAGTATGCAGAGTAATGTTAACTAATGGTAAATATCAATGATTGTGATTATGCCTAAATTTTATCCAGCATCTGCCTGAGTAGCACCGGTATCAGCCCCACAGGCATGCGCACACTGGTCCCTGCACTGTGTAAGTTAACCAGACTGATCAAACTGGACATTAGTCTTAATGACATAGGAGACCCCGGGCTGGAATGCCTGGCTGCTATCCTCCACCACCTCACAGCCATGAAGGTGTTGGTTCTCAGTTGGACACGTATCAGTGACAGGGGAATATCATCCCCGATCAAAGCTCTGCCTCACCTGGTGCAATTACAGGTGTTGGATATGAGCTCCAATAACATAGGAGACTCAGGGATTGTCTCACTGGTGCAAACACTCTGCCAGCCCAGCAGTTTGGACATGAAACAAAACCCACCTGGTGACAAGAGTCTGACCACAGCCCCTCACTATAACACCACACTACAGAAGCTGGACATTGGGAGGAATAAGGGAGTAACAGGAGCCGGACTGGGGAGGGTCGCACAGGTCATCAGCACACTGCCGGCACTGACCAGGCTGGACATGTCTGGTCCCTGGTTCACACCTACACACCTGTCTGACACCGCTGCCATGGATCTGGCCAAGGCTCTACCCAGACTCCCTGCCCTGGAGGTGCTGAACCTGCATCGCATCTCCATGGAGCCTGCAGGGTTCCAGGCTGTGGTGCTGAACAGCGAGGCAGGAAAAGGAAGGCAGAGTGTGAAGTTGAAGCCCATCCTGATTCAGACAGATCAACATGTGATGACGGTGGTACCTGGGAATGTAAAGTGTCAGAGGACACACAAGGTACGTTAGTGAGACTGGGAAACACTGTCAGCACCAAGGACAGGGAAACATGTACATAGGCCTTAGCTATGAAAACCTGAACTGGTAGTTTTAAGCCAAGGAACATGACTATGTATATGTAGCTATGATGAGGAAACTATAGTTTGTTTTAGTTCCTACAATGTCATGTATTACATCATAAAACTATTAAAAGATAAGCTGAGAACAGGTTTGCTTATGATTTATAAACTCCATACCTAACCTTGACCATACATGTAACTCTAACATTATGTAAGGCCCAATGCTGAAAAGAGTGTTATGTGTAATTCATGCATCACTATCCACAAGCATGTCAATAGTTTCATTTTTTTTCTTTTTGTAGCAAAGAAGATTAGACTGTGCCTGAGCCGTCATCCACAGTGTCTCAGCAGTGAAGACTCGTCCAGTCACCAAGGCCAGGAGTCACCTGGAACAGTTTCTGATTCCTCAAACGACTGCCTCTCCACTACATCTACTACAGAGTACAGCCTCAGTCAGGACACAAGAATAAAGTCTGCCAATTTTGGTGAGATATTAAACAAGGAGCACGCGCACAGTCCATTCTGCTGCACGACACTCAGGCACAAGCTACTCTTCCATCCTATCTTTTATGATAGGGAACTCACAATAAATACAACCTCAACCTAATTCTCAATGAATAATCAGCACAAAACTTCCATGATACATAGAAAATATACTTTACAAATGACTTTTCAAGAGAGAACTCGTCCAACTCCTTGGAGATAACTTTGGGACTGGCACTGACGCGGTATTTCGTAAAACGGGACTACAAATCCACAAGAAGCTACGCCAACTGACTCATTTGAAACGGAGTAGGTATACAAATCAGTTTTCCCTTGAATCGTGGGTTCAGCTATCTGACAAAGAGAAAAAACTACATACCTTCAAAAACTGCAAAGAGTGTTCAAAATCTAAGTACAGAGCATATCAAGATCTTTGGTCCGGCAACACTACTGGTGCTAACCCTTTGAAGGACAAAACTACTATTAATGCAACTGTCTGTGCCAGACAAATTTACCACACTGTAAATACCAAGTTCCAGAAGAAATTCAATGTCTCATTTGGGGAGTCCTTGGCCAGAGTTTCTGAGGCTAAGGTCCAGGTGAAGAAAACGACTTTAAAAGAAAAGGGAAAAAGGGCTGCTCTGAGAAAATGTGGTCCTGTGGTCTTAAACGGCCCAGATCCTAAAAGCTCGCACAGCTACGTATACATTTGTACTTCCTAGCTGTCTTTCACTTTAGACTGACCTATTTGTGATCTTGCCAGTGACAGAGATGCCTCACTACACGATTCTCCCCAATCCTGCGGTCTCATAAGGCCCAGATCCACATGTGTCTTCAGGAGCTCTTTGGTGTGTCTTGTACCTACAATATTTACCAGTTTTCAGATTGAACCTTAAGTGGCTACATACACAACATTAAATCTTTCTCAAAATGATTTTTTCCTGTGAAAAATATAAAAACAAAACGTCCTAACAATGCATTCTAGCATCACATACTGTGTTACTCTTGTAAAAAGGCCCAAAATCCTGGTCCACCCCCCCTCCCCCCACTCATTTGCTTTGCTCCATCACCATGCTATTCATCTGCTCGCTCACGCTAACTTTTTTTTGTAAAAAACACCCGTAACATAATTGATTGTGATCTGCTAAAATGATTTTTTAAGTACCAGCATTCAAACTTTGGGTTACGGGAGCATGGTATTTTCCCATATATGCAAATATAATTTATTAATAAATGCAAGATTTATGCATGCAAATGAGTTACATAGTCACACGTATGCAAATGTACGTATGCACAACAGGTAAGCGCACACAACATATACACGTATGCACGTATGCACTACACCCAGGACATTCTCCATTACTCTGGCCTTTCTCTACTGTTTTGGTTCACTCTCAACATTCTCTGTCACTCTGGCCATTCCTTATCACTCTGGTCACTCTCTATCTCTCTGGTCATTCTCCCTCACTCTGGCAATTCCTGATCTCTCTGGTCATTCTCTATCACTCTGGTCATTCCCTAACACTCTGTTCACTCTCCATCACTCTGGTCATTCTCTGTCACTCTGTTCACTCTCCATCACTCTGGTCATTCTCTATCACTCTGTTCACTCTCCATCACTCTGGTCATTCTCTGACACTCTGTTCACTCTCCATCACTCTGGTCATTCTCTGTCACTCTGGTCATTCTCTGTCACTCTGGTCATTCTCTGTCACTTTGTTCACTCTCCATCACTCTGTTCACTCTCTATCACTCTGGTCATTCTCTGTCACTCTGTTCACTCTCCATCACTCTGGTCATTCTCTAGATCTGTCACTCTGTTCACTCACCATCACTCTGGTCATTCTCTGAGTGATGGAGAGTGAACAGAGTGACAGAGAATGACCAGAGTGATAGAGAGTGACCGGAGTGATGGAGAGTGAACAGAGTGATGGAGAGTGAACGGAGTGATGGAGAGTGAACAGAGTGACAGAGAATGACCAGAGTGATAGAGAGTGAACAGAGAGATCAGGAGTGGCCAGAGTGAGGGAGAATGACCAGAGAGATAGAGAGTGACCAGAGTGATAAGGAATGGCCAGAGTGACAGAGAATGTTGAGAGTGAAC